GCGCAATGGCAAAAGACAAAGGACAAATAGGAGCAGACGAAACACACACAAAAACATATTTTATCTATACCTATTCAATGGGGTGAAACATAATATATTGCATGTATAATATGAGTCAAGAGTAAAATATAATATGGTAGAAGGACGTTACCATTCAGCAGTGTTTATCGACTGAATGAGCGATATATGATAGGCAAGACGACTTCATAAACTATTCTTTGGCTTTCAGGTTTTTTGTCAGCTGATTCTTCACGAGGCTTCTGGGTCTCCTGGGCCCCGGATGGAACCATAGCCGTGGGACGGGAGGGAGAAGGCAGCCCGTTCATGCAGTGGCAGGACCCTGACCCGCTACCGTTCCAGTACTTAGGTTACTCCACGGGATGGGGCAGCTCAGGACTATTTAGGTTTCCTTGCAAAGGTACTTGTGGCGTCATTCCCGTCTGGAAAAATACAGAATCACGATCACGTCCAAAAGGGGCGTGTCATTTGAACTATAATGAGCAGACCAGGTGCGGCTGACATTCGGGAGCAGTTTGGTCAGACTTGGACCACGCCTACCATTCCTAACGAATCAAAACGAATTTGAGTTAAGTTTGAGTCCAATTTGACCCTTGAACACGCCTAAGACGCTTCTATTAAAACGTCTTCCTGAATAGACTGCTGCTGTTTTGCTAACGTACATCCGAGCATCAGCCAACCATAATCGAAACTCCTGACCGACCCCCGAATGCTTTAAGCTTTGCAGTCCCCAATTGAAACATTAGGATAGTAGCCGAATAACAGCTGATACAGCCGACTTTAAACCGACCTACATTTGTACTCTACTCCTAATCATAATTAGGGGGGGGGGGTCAGGAAGTGATATGCATAGATGTGTGACAGTGGAGTTTGGGTTACCCTTCTCCCCATGCCTAAAGCATGGTTCTGTTTCATGCCAGCCTTGCAATTCAAGGCCACGCTCATCAATTCCTGTCTTTTTTAAATCAGGAAATTGCCAGGAGGGAGATGGGACATCCTACAGAGGAACAGTCGCCGTGACAGAAACAGGCAAGACGTGTCAACGCTGGGACAGTCAGACACCCCACGAGCACTCCGTCACACCTGCTGCCTACCCATCGGCCGGGCTGGAGCAGAACTACTGCCGGAACCCGGACGGTGAACCCGGAGTTTGGTGCTACACCACGGATCCCGACGAGAGATGGGACTATTGTAGCCTACCAGTATGTGGTAAGGTCTGATTTTGTAACATTTGATCAGAAATATTTGTAACATTTGTGCTGATAATCTTTATTCATCTATATGCATTTACTACTATATATATTGCATCATTGTCGTGTCAAAATCATGTAAATACGACTTTGATAATGGCATGAAAAACACCGTTTTGGATACATTACTTATAATTGTTCACTTTTGTATTTCCAGCTTCTACATAGTGATGGTATAGTATTGAAAAGAAACATGGCTTGAAATGCCTTTGTTGCAAACGTAAAAATCATCATATGCTCTCGATAATTTGTTTTACTATATAAATTTTAGAGATATTTTTATTTCCTGGAAGTATTGTTTTTAATGGCGACGATTTATGCTTGGTTTGTAAGTTTGTGTAGAAAATTGAGTGGGTGGAGATTGTGTTTCACTTGATTGACAGGTATTTGGCCAGGTACGTATAGGCACTGTCACGTATCAATAATATGGTCCCCAGGAATGTATGAGTAAATAAGTTATTCTATAATGTAATTCACTAGCGCAAATTATATACTTTACAGAGGTTTAAAATCTCGGATTTCTTGTTTTTTTTTTTACTTCCCCGTTTCAACTCAAACAGTGACACCGCCTCCAGAGGATTTCGGGGTATCAACTATCACCGATACGTCCGTCACAGCTGTGTGGACCCCGACCTCCAGTCCCATCGCTATCGGCTACAGAGTGTGGATAAGGGAATCGGGGCAGCCTGGCGACCTTTCCTCGCATTACCTTGCTATCAGCCAAACGGAAGTCACATTCCAGGACCTCGTACCAGCCACAGAGTACATCATATCGGCAACAACTATCAACATGTACGTCGAAGGGTCGGAAGAA